GATTCATTTCGGATTCTTTGCCTGAATCGTACGGGGCAATTGATGGTTTGTTTTTGTTGGTAATCGTTTGATTTTAGAAATTTTCACTGATCGTTTATTACCTCACGAAGAGTTTATGTGTCTGTTCAGTCCATAAATATTTTATTGTTTCTTTTGTCGATTCTCTTGAATTCTCCAATTCATGTATGCAGCAGATATTACCGTAATCGTTTCATTCGATCGATGACATCCAAATTGATGCTTTTCGTCTGCGCACTACTTTTACATCGATCATTCAGTCTAATCAACGAGAATTCATTGATCTGTCAGTACTTCAATGAAAAGGTGTCAGTGGAAAGTTTAAAAAAAAAGTTTTTTTTAAGCGAAATGTTTCAAAGTCGTTGGAAGATGATTGTACACCGATAAGTATGTATCCGACCGACGCACTCTTTTATGCGTTCGAATTACCGCCCAATGATGATGACGATGCAGTGCAAAGTGTCACTGTTAACGCTGACAACGCAAGTGATATATGCAGTGCCGCTGCGCAAGGTGATCTTTCGGCACATCATCAGAATCTCATTAACAATAATGACAACCAACTAACACCTTCAACAATCTGTGACGACACTCAACAAAACATCATCAACCCTCATATGGACATGGCGTTGAACAATGAACAAGTGCATAGCAATAATAATATTAACAATACGGATAAACCAAGCACTTCCACTGCTCATTCTTCAACACATTCGAACTGCTTCATTCCAGCACCAACCATTATTGCTTCTCATCGCAAAATGGTTCGCTTTTCAAATTTTTCATCAAACGTCCTACTGTAATCTGTTTTTTTTCAAATGCGTATTCACTAATTTTGAAGAACGACTACTATGCGGAATGTGTTCATTTCGTTTACGCTTTTCAGCAGTATAACGATACATATCTGTTGGGTGCTGCGCGTGGTTGTTCTACGTGCTTGTTTGGTGTTCCTCTTGTGATTCGATTTTGCCCGGTTCGTTTCTTCTTTCAACATATATTGTTGATTCTTAAAAATCATTGCTCAGAGTGTTAAACTGATTTTCGTTGTCTTTGCGGCTGATTCAGCGCTTAATTTAAGGGCAAAACAACTGGTAATGAACTCTATGAGGAAGTCTGGTTGCAAGTATCGCGGTTCCTTCAGAATGGATCATCGGATCGAACGCAACGGGTTAAAGGAACAAATCGAGCGATTGACGCGTACGTCTCCTGATCATTATCTGTTCCCTTTATCATATTCAAAATATTGGCTACTTGTCTGATTACCAGTTCACTGAAGATTGGTCTATTTAAGAGGTGAAGATATTCGGAGTGGTTATCCATTTGATTTATGCACAGTGGACGCATCGTTCGAATGGTGTTCGCGATGTTCATGGGCAGCGTTTTGTCGTGGATGTATATTGCCTCGCACGGCTGGTGTCATTACTGAACGACTCGTTGCAGTTGCGGTCGACTGGAAACCAACTGCACTTTATTTGAGATATCAACATTCTGTCGAATTGGTTCGTTCATTCGTCCATTTAATGGGCTTATTCAGACGTAGATTGTTTGGTATCGTTTTGATCACCTCAAATCGTAACTTGCCTTATCTTTTCTTGTATTCTCAGCATGCTTAACCGTAAAGTTAGTCTTCTTGAAAATGAACTCTCCAATGGAAACTCGTTTGAGTGCATGATTCGTTGTTTTCCGTTATTCTGTCTTCTAACAATACGTAATATTTTAAATTCAGTTATGTCGTGATGACGATTCAGTGTTACGTGCTTGGGAGATACATTATAGAGCGTGTTCTTTGATATCGTGTCTGAATGATTTTACTCGATCTGAACTACTCGACGAACCTATACACTGCAAGAGGTGTAATCTGAAAACTCCAACCAAAAAATCTCTCTCAATTTGGAGGTTACCAAGAATACTTGTGAGTTTTACCGCGTTCGTATTGCTGTTTTTTGTTGTTTCAAAGTATCACTATTAATTATCATTCGATTTTGTTCAAATTACTGAAATTTATCACTGAATCATTTTATTTATTGATGAGTTGCAATGTTGAAGATGTTATTTTATTGACTTTTCGTATTGATGATACGTCGAATTAAATCAAAATTTGTTTCGTTTCTATTGTTTTTCAATCCTTTTGCCCCTTAAGAACGAATTGATGTANAGGTTGTTGAATTTCCATTATGCGATCTAGATCTTTCACAGTGGGTACTTGATCCTCAGTCAGTTGATAAAGCCAAATACAATTGCTTTGCCATTGCTGTATGTTTGACTCTCATCACTTTTTTGTTCTTTCATTTATTCATTCCTTTCTTCATAAATAACTGAACACTTTTATCAGTTTTATTTAGCATTGAAGTGTTAAAAAATTTCGATCGCATGTTAGCCATAAATTGTCCAGTTTATTGTATCAAATAACGCATTCATTCTGAAAACTATTTCTCTTTTTATTACAGAACCATTACGGTGCAATGGCCTCAGGACATTATGTAGCATATGCAAAAAATCGTGGTCAATGGTATGCATTCAATGACAGCAAATGTCAAGTAAGCGACATCGCAATATTATTTCATTTCGTTTCAAATCATAACAAAAGCTTTCTGTTTATTTTCGGTTGGATTTCAACCTCATTTCAGTAATATTTGAGCCGAACATTAATGTTACTTATTCTTTATTTCCTCATAATTTACCTGCTTAAAGCGGTTGAATGGAACAAAATGTTTCATTTAATTGCTTTTTGATTCGTGATAATGACTTTGCGTCATCGTCTTATCCATCTTCGGATCAATTCCCATCGAAAATCCTTCTCTGTGCATCGCCATCAATCAACCTGTAATTGCAGGCAGTTAAGGAGTCGCAGATTGACAAGAAGAGTGCCTATTTGTTATTTTATGAGCGCATCGATTCTTAATCGTTATTATCCTAGTATGTCAGTGCTAGATTATATGTCTATATCATTGTGGTGATCGTTGCATATTTCATTATACTATGTCACATCGTACCAAATTATAATTTTTTTATCGCATTTTGTTTTCTTTTTCTGAATATGATGTAATTGTGCTAATTATTGCTGCCTCAAATGCTCAACTGCAATTCATCTAGTTATATTTTTATTGCTTCGCTAATAACTTTGTACTTTCTCTGTCCTTTCAGTCCCTTGTTTGTTTTATCCCAAAACACAGTACAGTATCCAATTTGATGATGATTCATCCGAAGTTGACTGAAAGAAAATCGCTGTGATTATATTCAATTTATACTCCCTTCGCACTTCACCATCGGAATGTTGCCTTATTTGTGAAGTGATTTAGCCGCAAAACATATGTATCCATAACCTTCACCTTAAACTTCCTATTGAACCTTCTTTGTAAACAAATGAAAATGAACAAATTAAGCGAATGCTTTATATGTGCAGTCATTACAGAGAGCGATTGCTCATTACTGTAACTATTGTAGTGCAACTGATGAACACCAGTGCTAGTGTCTGACTTTTATTTTAGTTGGTTTCGTTCGAGTTCTATTGATGGTATTTTAAGTTATAATTTGATTGTATTTCGAGATTTATTTGGATGTTTTCCCTTTTAAGACATACAATACACTAATATATCCAGCGTTCATCAAGGGTCAGTTGAGCCTGATGGATGATGGTTGTTATTGTTCTACAATATTGTTTCCCTTACAAGCCTTTTCTTCGGTGTACTGTATTCACGTGGCATCCCTTACTTTAATATCAAAAATTCAAATATCAAGATGTACTGGATGGGTTATCATTTCCCACAAGCGGTTGATCATGATTGGGTGGATGCTGGGGATTTTGAGTTGCAACGTACGTTACGTGGATATATTGCATGTAATAAAGGTAATAAATGAATCACTTTGGATTCATTCATTTCAAGTTTGACTGTTTTTTAATAGTGATATATTGTTATTTGGTCAGTGATGTGTATTGTGTTCACCTTTGTTCAAAAACACTTCGCTTTTTATTGTGAATTGATTGATTACTCTAGCATTCAATTTCCGTTGTGATTTTCTGCGAAATACTTCTTTTGTAAGCTTATTTGATAGTATTGAGTGAACATGTATAGATGTGAGAATATTTCGAGTAATCCGTGCTTCACACTTTCTTGTTATACAATCTTTTGCAACGTTTTATGTGATCGGTACGGATTCCTATCAGCTGTGATTATTGTGATGGACTGATTAATAGATCTGCACCAGGTCGATCGCGTTCAAC